AGTGCAAAGTGAAAGCAAGTTTATTAAGAAAGTAAAGGAATAAAAGAATGGCTACTCCATAGACAGAGCAACTGGTTATCCATTTTTATGGTTATTTCTTTATAATACGGTAAACAGGGATGGATTATTACCCCTTTTAGACCATAGAGGGTAACTTCCTGATGTTGCCATGGCATTTGTAAACTGCCATGGTGCTGGTGGGAGGGTAGCAGTGAGGATGACCAGAGGTCACTCTCATCGCCATTTTGGTTTGGGTGGGTTTTGGCCGGCAACTTTACTGCAAACTGTTTTATCAGTAAGGTCTTTATGACTGTGACTTAGAATGCCGTAACTGTCTGGGATTGCAAACCAGTAGGTTTCAGCCTCATTTTACCCAGCTCCTGTTTAAGATGGAGTTGCCCTGGTTCACACGCCTCTGATACCTCAGCCTCCCAAAGTGCTGGGGTCACAGGCATGAGCCACCACAACTGGCCAGATTCTGCATTTTTTTTTTTTTTTTTTTGAGACAGTGTCTCACTCTGTTGCCCAGGCTGGAGTGCAGTGGTGCGATCTCAGCTCACTGCAACCTTCACCTCCCAGGCTCAAACGATTCTCCTGCCTCAGCCTCCCAAGTGGCTGGGACTACAGGTACGTGCCACCACACCCAGCTAATTTTGTATTTTTAGTAGAGATGGTGTTTCACCATGTTGGCCAGGCTGGTCTTGAACTCCTAACTTCAGGTGATCCACCCACCTTGGCCTCCCAAAGTGCTGGGATTACAGGCGTGAACCACTGAGCCTCAGCCTCCCAAATGCAGAATGCCAGATTCTACATTTCTAACAGGCTCCCAGGTGCTGCTAATGCCCCTACTCCAAGAACCACACTTGAATATCAAGAGTCTGTTCCCACTCCTGCCAGATATTTCTGTGCCTCAGAATTCTTTGCAAAAAGAGTAGAATTCTACTTGTTCTGTTTGCCCTTCTTCCCCATTCTGCTTTTAAAAATGTAATGTTTTAATGCACGAACATGAATAAAATCTAAGCACAGACATGTTTGACATCTGTCGTCAAACAGAAAGTATAGAAGTTGAGGTTTAGAATTTTACTAGCAGGCGGTTAGTAGGTGTTATGTGTTCATTTTATAAAGACAGCAGGTCATTAATTATAAATGTCACGATCTTATCCCTGGAATAATGGAATCTGTTTCTGAGTAAGAGTCACTTTGAGATGATCAATAGTAAAGAGACTGAAAGAGGAAGAAAAATGTCATGTGCTCTCAAAAATATAGTTGTGTGAACATTCAATGACCTTTTCTCATGGGAACACCCTCTTCATACTTTTATGATGTGGTTATATAATAGACACTGGCTCATAATAACACGTCAGCTACTCACACAGAAGTAGATAAGTAAGGCAGCTTCTCTCTTTGCTTTCCTGGCTCTCCTTCCCCACTCTACAGCTTAACCAGACAAGTTTTACTCTAAATTCTTTTATAATGTGTGTTAAGAACAAAACAGGGGGCCAGGTACAGTGGCTCACACCCATAATTCCAGCACTTTTGGAGACTGAGGTGGGCAGATCACCTGAAGTCAGGAGTTCAAGACCAGCCTGGCCAACATGGTGAAACCCTATCTCTACTAAAAAGACAAAGATTAGCCAGGCATGGTGGTGCATGCCTGTAATCCCAGCTATCAGGAGACTGAGGCAGGAGAATCACTTAAACCCAAGAGGTAGAGGTTGCAGTGAGCCAAGATCATTGCACTCCAGCCTGGGCAACAAGAGCGAAACTCTGTCTCAAAAAAACAAAAAACAAGGAAGATTATTTTTAGATAAGCAAGCACCAAAATAATTTTAAAGTATTAAAATGCAAGTTAAAGAAATAGAAATAGGCTGGGCATGGTGGCTCATACCTATAATCCCAGCACTTTGGGAGGCCAAGGCAGGTCGATCACCTTAGGTCAGGAGTTCCAGACCAGCCTGGCCAACATGGCAAAACCCCGTCTCTACTAAAAACACAAAAATTAGCTGGGCGTGGTGGCACATGGCTGTAGTCCCAGCTACTTGGGAGGCTGAGGCAGGAGAATCGCTTGAACCTGGGAGGCAGAGGTTGCAGTGAGCCAAGATTGTGCCACTGCACTCCAGCCTGGCTACAGAGCAAGACTCCATCTCAAAAAAAAAAAAAAAAAAAAAGGAAGAAAGAAATATTGCTTAATAGTGTTTCTCTTGAATACTTGAGTACTTATATTAAATAAATTCAAGTTTAGGTGGCAAGAAGAAAAGACCCTTGCCTTATAGAAAGCCCTTAGGATTTAAGACTCATGCTGTTTACAGGAAAGGATGCAACAAAATTTCATTTTAGTAAGGAAGCCTGGTTACAAATCAGATCATCATATAATTATCATATGACATCAGGGCAAAAGAACAGACCTTTTTTCTTCTGAAAAGGCACATTTTTATTAATATTTTTTAAAGCCTAATTCAATTAAATTTCTTTAAAATACTGGTTTTATCCAATTTTTTTCCTTATCAAAAGCTATTAAAAATAATCAGTAAGTAGCTTTTTTCTTCTTTTATTTTAGGAACGACCCCTCTCTTGTCACCCAGGCTGGAATGCAGTAGTATTCAAACTCACTGCAGCCTTGAGTTCCTAGGTTTAAGCAATCCTCCTACCTCAGCCTCCCCGGTAGCTGGGACCACAAGTGTGTACTACCATGCTTGACTATTTAAAAAAAAAAAAATTGTGGAAATGGTGTCTCTCTGTGTTGCCCAGGCTGGAGTGCAGTAGTGCAATCATAGTTCACTGCAGTCTCGAACTCCTGAGCTCAAGTGATCCTTTGGCCTCCACCTCCTGAGTAGCTGGAATCACAGGCATGAGCCACCATGCCTGTCTAATTTAAAAAAAAAAAATTTTAGTAGATATAGGGTCTCACTATGTTACCCAGGTTGGTCTCAAACTCCTGGCCTCAAGCAATCCTCCTGCCCTGGCCTCCCAAAGCACTAGGATTATAGGTATGAGCCCACTGCACACAGCCGTTGAGTCTTTTTTTCTCATTAGCATGTGTATTAGCTTTTTACTTGGCACTGCAACAAATGACCACCAATTTAGCAGCTTCAACAACATAAATATATTTATTGTCTTACAATTTTGTAGGACAAAAGCCTGACCAGGCTGAAATCCAGGCATTGGCTGGGTCAGGTTCCTTTCTGTAGGCTCCAGGTACCATCCACTTCCTTGCCTTTTCTGGCTTCTAGAGGCCTCCCACATTCCTGGCTGGTGGCTCCTTCCCTCATCTTCACACAGCAAAGGCAGGGTCAGAGTGGAGCCTTCTCATGTCGCATCACTCTGTCCAGCTCTCCTGTTTCCCTCTTCCAATGCTGAGGATCCCTGTGATTACACTGAGCTCACCCAGATAATTCAGGATAACTTCCCTGTTTTAAGGTCAGCTGATCAGCAACTTTAATTCTCCTTTGCCACGTAAAATAACACATTCTCAGGTTCCAGGCATTAAGATGTGGACATCTTTGTCTGTTCTGTCTGTGTATGTTTGAGGGGGTGGGTAGAGGCCATTATTCTGCCTACCACACTATATCTTATCAATAATTAAAAAGAATCTTCTAAGAGAGGACTATTGCAATTTGGGTACCGATAACATTTGCATAGTGCCATTATATCCAAATTACATTTAGATTGCATTACTCACTGGTGAAAAATGCTGCAGCTCTTAAGCAAAGTTTTTATCTTTTAGTTGCATTTTTGTTTTTTGTTGATTCCCATGTTTTCCTTTTCTTTCTTTCTTTTTTTTTTTTTTTTTTTTTTTGAGACAGAGTCTTTCTCTGTTGCCCAGCTGGAGTGCAGTAGCACAATTTCAGCTCACTGCAACCTCCACCACCCAGATTCAAGCAATTCTCCTACATCAGCCTCCCGAGTAGCTGAGGCTACAGGCACGCGCCACCATGCCTGGCTAATTTTTTGTATTTTTTAGTAGAGACAGGGTTTCACCATGTTGGCCAGGATAGTCTTGATCTCCTGACCTCATGATCCACCCACCTCGGCCTCCCAAAGTGCTGGGATTACAGACATTAGCCTCCACCCCTGGCCATTAATTTTTTGTTATTTTGAGACAGGGTCTTCCTCTGTGGCCAAGGCTGGAGTACAGTGGCATGATCACGGTTCGCTGCCGCCTAGACCTTCCCAGGCTCACATGGTCCTCCAGAGTAGCTGAAACTACAAACATGTGTCACCACACTTGGCTAATTTTTATTTCTTGTAGAGACAGGGTTTCATTATGTTGTCCAGGAATCTTCTTACCTCACCTCCTAAAGTGCTGGGATTACAGGCATGAGCCCCTATGTCTGACCTCTTCTTCACTAGTAATGATTTGTATATTATAATCTTGGAGTATACCTATAAATAGACCCTCCAATCTCTATGACCTACCCAAAATTTATTACATAGACAGGGTTATGTGAGAAACACTTACCAAGTGTTCCTCAAATGGGGTGATTTTGCTCACCTACAGGACATCTGGCAATATCTGTAGACGTGTTTTAGTTGTCACAATTGAGGAGAAGATGCTATCGGTGTCTAGTGGGTAGAGGCCAAGGATGCTGCTAAACGTCCTACAAAGCACAGGACAGCCCCCACAACAAAGAATCATCCAGCCCAAAGTGACAATCGTGCCGAGGTTGAGAAACCTTGGCTTAGCAAGATGCCAGACTGCAGCACCCCACCCTCAACTGAATTAGGTATTAGTAAATGGATCAGGATTGTATTAGTGTATTGATTTGTATGCTGATTGAATTAGACGTTTTACTAGTTAGATTACGAGCTAACTAAAATTCTGGTCAAAAGATCAACTGGAGGAAACAGAAGATGGGTAGATCAGTACATACCAATCCACGTGAAATGTGAAAGGTAATATACTGAAAGAAAGTAAGCCTGACTTGGAGCCTTAATTGATGAAATTGATACCCTTCTCTCATGGTTCTCATCTCTACACTTCTTCTTTACCTACATTGCAGGTGTTCCTGGCTCTATGCCAAATGCATCCTGGACTGGAAACCTCAGAGCTATAAAGTGGAATGACATGGAAGACAAACATGGAGGCTGCCACGGTGAGGCTCTCCTTGTTTGCTTCTAGGATACTGCTTGTTGATGTTAGCAGGAAGATAGCTGTGGAATCCAGGGTTCTCATGGAGAGAGAGCTGCTGCTATATTTAGACTGATCTGTTAGTTATTTGAGAAGCCAGAGGCTTCAAGACACAGTCCTTCAAAAATAAGTTTAAACATTTCACTGATATTCACCAACCTTTAATTACCTAGGGAGATGAAAAGACAGGTTCAAATCATGATGCCATTTTCTCCCTGCTAGTTTTCAGCTTTCTTTCTTCATTGGCAGGGTCTCACTCTGTCACCCACTCTGGAGTGCAGTGCCATGAATACAGCTCATTGCAACCTCAAAATCCTGGGTTCAGGACTCCCGCCTCAGCCTCCCAGGTAGCTGGGACCACAGGCATGTGCCACCACACCTGGCTAATTTTATTATTATTATTATTTCCTGTAGAGTCAGCTTCCCTTTTGTTTATTCCTCTTGCTGTGCCTTCTGAGAGCCCAGCTGTTCAGAGGGGAAAGTGGTCGAGAGGAGAAGTGATGTCATGTTCTTACCACAGAGCTAGCTGGACCTCCATCCCTCGGGCCAGTCCCTGCTCCCCCTATAGGCAGCCTTCCCAGGGGCTTGGAGAGCTGTCGGGGTTTGCACAGCTCTGGCATGGTGGATGGATGACAGGTGACACTAGCAAGAAGGATACCCCTCGGAATGGAAGAAAACTAGAAATCCTAAGTCAGTTCAATTTCTATACAACTTTATGAAAAAGAGTTTTTATCAGTCCTGGCACATTCAGAATATTGCCCAGCATATAGTGGGCATGAATATCAGTTTGCTAGGGCTGCCTAGCACAGACTAGGTGCTTAGCATTGGGTCCTGTCATCTAACTTCAGCTAGGCCTCCTGGCTACCTACTTATCCTTTCGTTTACCTCATTATTTTCCTAGTGCCCTTCCTAAGGTTCACTTTTCAGCTTTCCTGCTTACCTTTAAGCTCCCAAGGTGTATTAGTCCGTTTTCACACTGCTAATAAAGACATACCCAAGACTGGGCAATTTACAAAGAAAAGGAAGTTTAATGGACTCAGAGTTCCACGTGGCTGGGGAGGCCCCACAATCCTGGCAGAAGGCGAAAGGCACATCTTACATGGTGGCAGGCAAAAGAGAATGAGAGCCAACCAAAAAGGGAACCCTTATAAAACCATCAGATCTCATGAGACTTATTCACTACGACAAGAACAGTATGGGGGAAAGCGCCCCCTATGATTCAATTATCTCCCACTGCGTCCCTCCCTCAACATGTAGGAATTATGGGAGCTATAATTCAAGATGGGATTTGGGTGAGGACACAGCCAAACCATATCACAAGGTTATCCCAAAACAGCCTTTCTATTCTCAAAAGTGACCATTTCAACTTGAAGAAGAACTTTCAAGATGTGTAATCAAAATTCCATCATCTAGTCCCTTGTCATGTCATCCCGCCCCGCCATCTTAGAGCAGTGTGGACACACCTTCTTATTGTTCCCTCCAGTTTCAAAAGGAAAAGTCACTCATCCCCCCACCAAAGCCACCAGCTATGGTCTCAGCTATCTGTGGGCACACTCTCTCCCCTTGCCCTTTCACATCCTCAGCCTCTCCCTTTCTGCTGCCTCTTTGCCTTCTCTCTGAAAGCGTGGACTTATTGCCCCTATCCTGAAGACATCAAGTTGCCTATGAACCCTCTGCTTGCTCCAGGCCGAAATACTCTTTCCTTGTTCACTTCTATTTCCTTAAGCTTGTGCATGAGGCCTGTGTGTTCAGTTCTCACTGCCTGGTCACAGCAGGGGACAGCGTTCCAGACTTCAGACTAGATCAATTCACCAAGAAATTTCTTTTAACTTCTTTAACTTCCTGCAATTCTGGCTTCTTTCCCCTGTGATTTCCACTCATTTTTGTTTGTTTGTTTGTTGTTGTTGTTTTTTTTTGAGATGGAGTCTTGCTCTGCAGCCCAGGCTGGAGTGCAGTGGTGCAATCTGGCTCACTGCAACCTCCACCTCCCAGGTCCTGGTTCAAGCAGTTCTTCCACCTCAGCCTCCCAAGTAGCAGGATTACGGGCACGAGCCACCACACCTAGCTAATTTTTGTATTTTTTAGTAGTAATCAGGTTTCACCATGTTGGCCCGTCTGGTCTTGAACTCCTGACCTTGTGATCTACCTGCCTGAGCCACCCAAAGTGCTAGGATAACAGGCGTTAGCCACTGCGCCTGGCCTGATTTACGCTATGTTGCTTCTTCCCTGCCCACTGAATTAATCACCACGTTCTTCAGCATGCATGACCTTCTGTCTGTCCTGCACTAGCGTTTTCAGTATCTTTCCTTTCCCACTCATCAGTCATTCACTTTGAATGAGCTCTCCAGTTTACATTGTTATTACTGCAGCCTCTTGGTTTCTAATGTACCTGCAAAACACTTCAAAATTAATCTTCCTAAAATCAGTTTCATCATTCAATTCTTCTATTCAAACATCTTTAAGGACTCTATGCTTACGGGATACAAGGCCCAACCCTTCAGTCTGTGAAGTTGGTCAAAAAGCAATTGTTCTATTGTGTGACCAGAGGAATCTGGAAAATGGTTATAACTTCCTACCATTCTTGTTTCTAACCTGTACCCTACAAAACCCCCGCTTCCAGCAGAAAGTCCCCACCACAGAAGTTATTGAGGTTAAAAAACAAATTCAAATCTGACATGTTACATTTCTGAGGTTTATTATACATCTAGGCAGAGATATTAGGTAGGCACTTGCTCAGGTAAAAGACTTACCCAGTGTGGCTGGGCGCAGTGGCTCACGCCTGTAATCCCAGCACTTTGGGAGTCTGAGGCGGATGGATCACAAAGTCAAGAGATCGAGACCATCCTGGTCAACATGGTGAAACCCCGTCTCTACTAAAAATACAAAAAAATTAGCTGGGCATGGTGGCGCGTGCCTGTAATCCTATCTACTCAGGAGGCTGAGGCGGGAGAATTGCCTGAACCCAGGAGGCGGAGGTTGCGGTGAGCCGAGATCGCGCCATTGCACTCCAGCCTGGATAACAAGAGCGAAACTCTGTCTCAAAAAAAAAAAAAAAAAAGACCTATCGAGTGCAACCCATAAAGACCTCTCCCATCTGTATCACTGTAGAACTTCTCATCTGTAACTCTAATTTAATAATACAGTAGGCCCCTCTCACCCACAGGGGACACATTTCAAGACAGACAGTACTGAACTTTAAATGTACTTCATTTTTCCCTGTACATACATATCCATGATAGAGTTTAATTTTTGAAGTAGGCATAGTAAGAGGTTAACAATAATAATTAATTATAAATGGAACAATTATAACAATATGCTGCAATAAAAGTTATGTACATAAAAAAGTTATGTGAATTAAAGCTAGCTGGGCATGGTGGCTCACTCCTGTAATCCCAGCACTTTGGGAGGCCAAGGCAGGTAGATCACCTGAGGTCAGGGGTTCGAGACCAGCCTGACCAACATGGAAAAACTCCATCTCTACTAAAAATACAAAATTAGCCAGGCGTGCTAGTGCACGCCTATAATCCCAGCTAACTCAGAAGGCTAAGGTAAGAGAATCGCTTGAACCCGGGAGGCAGAGGTTGCGGTGAACCAAGATTGTGCCATTGCACTCTAGCCTGGACAACAAGAGCAAAACTCCATCTCAAAAAAAGAAAAATAAAGTTATGTGCTCTCTTTCTTTCTCTCTCAAAATATCTTATTATTTTTGGATCATGGCTGACCTGGGGTAACTGAAACCTCAGAAAGGAAAACTGCAGCTAAGAGGGGACAACTGTGCATAAATGGCCTTTTAACACCCATAATGTTACTAACGCAGTTTTAATATTAATATTGACAATGACCACAACAATTAACGTAATAATGAAGATAGTAACAGGTGTTTCTCAGATGGGGTGATTTTGCTCACCCACAGGACATCTGGTAATATCTGCAGACGTTTTTTGGTTTTCGCAATTGAGGAGAAGATGCTATCGGTAGCTAGTGGGTAGAGGCTAAGGATGCTGCTAAACATCCTACAAAACACAGGACAGCCCCCACAGCAAAGAATCATCCAGCCCAAACTAACACCTATAATGTTACTAACACAAATTTAAAATGATATAAAATTATTGTATGCCTTGTATGATTTAACTCTCACTTTCTTCAAATATGGATTTGTACCTGTTGTTGTTGTTGTTGTTTTTGAGACAGAGTCTTGCTCTGTTGCTAGGCACCAGGCTGGAGTGCAGTGGCGCGATCTTGGCTCCCTGCAACCTCCATCTCCTGGGTTCAAGCAATTCTTCTGCCTCAGCCTCCCGAGTAGTTGGGACCACAGGTATGCACCACCACACCCAGCTAATTTTTGTATTTTTTAGTAGAGAGGGCGTTTCACCATGGTCTCAATCTCTTGACCTCGTGATCCACCCGCCTCGGCCTCCCAAAGTGCTGGGATTACAGGCATGAGCCATTGTGCCCAGCCGGCTGTACCTGTTGTTCTTCTAACTCGAGTTCCAGTTCCCTGTGGGCTGAGACTGCACAGTCATTTTCATTTGAATCCTGTGGCATTGGCACAGTTGTAGTTACTCAGAGAGTAACTCTAGTATTCTGTTAAGTCCATCACTCTTTTGAAAGCAAGCATGTTTTGACAGTGTTTCTTGTTCTTTCCTTTGCAGGCCACTATGTACATGGTATTTGTATCTATGGAAACGGAGACTTAAAGTGGCTGGTTAATTCACCAAGCCTGTTTGCTAACAAGTTTGAGCTTAATACCTACCCCCTTACTGTGGAATGCCTAGAACTGAGGCATCGCGAAAGAACCCTCAATCAGAGTGAAACTGCCATACAACCCAGCTGGTATTTTTGAGCTATGATAACTCCTGACTGAAGGGAAACTGCAGCTGGGAAGAGGAGCCCATCTTTGGGAGAGACTTTTGTCTTCTAATGTTAATGGTTTCAGGATGACATTTACAGCTTCAGGACCTGGCTACATAATTATACTTAAATTATCCACTGGACAGGCTGGGTGTGGTAGCTCATGCCTGTAATCCCAGCACTTTGGGAGGCCACGGCAGGTGGATCACCTGAGGTCGGCAGTTCGAGATCAGCCTGACCAACTTGGAGAAACCCCATCTCTACTAAAAATGCAAAAAAATTAGCCAGGCGTGGTGGCGGGCACCTGTAATCCCAGCTACTCGGGAGGCTGAGGCAGGAGAATCGCTTGAACCTGAGAGGCAAAGGTTACAGTGAGCCGAGATCGCACCATTGCACTCCAGCCTGGGCAACAAAAGCAAAAGTCTTGTCTCAAAAAAAAAAAAAAAAAAAATCCACTGGATACTGTGAAATACACTAACAGGATGGCTGGGTAGAACAATCTGGGCACTTTGGCCAGTTTTAGTCTTGCTGTTTCTTGATGTTCACCTCTATATTAGCTTATTGTTATGATCAAGGATAAATTTAAATGATATCAGATCTTTGCACCAGATACTCATCATATACAAATGTTTTAATGAAAAAGAGAATTGTAGATAATACTGTCTAGGAAAATAAGAATTAGGTTTCTTTGAAGAAGGAATCTTTTATAAACACATTAACAGTCACCACTCTGCTCACAAACAGGTATTGAAATGGTTTTCTGGGTAATTCACCAATCTCCTTGAAAATGTAAGCTACTTGAGTGGAAAATTGATTTTGTTTCCAAGTTTCAACACTAGCATTTTTAGTTTACTCATAGCCAAAGTTCTGTACATAGTATAAAGTCATTAACAAGAAACAGGATGTGCTTTACGACAGAATTTACTGTCTGTTGCTTTGGTAAAAGGACCTCGCAGAATAGAACATTTCTCTCTCGTATGCTGGAATGTAGGCTGGTCCCTATGTCATGTTTTCCATTGAGAACACTGAAAAGTCCTTGCAAGAATGAAGATAAGCATTCAAGAGAGGTGCTATCGCATAGATCTGTCTGAAGTTTGGAACACTTTCCTCTTCTGTGACCCCCCTTTCCCCAGTATTATCTTACTTGCAAAATAGAGACCAAATTCTATCCTGTGAGGCTTTTAATTGTACCATAGTATTCTCTGAGTAGCTTTACAATGCCTGGTACTGATAGGAGGGGCTCGATTTTTAAGAGCCTTCAGTTGTAAATGAGCATCTCTTGTTATTTATCCCTCATTCATTCATCCATTCATTCATTCAGCCTGCATTCAATAAACATTTCTTGAGCGTCTATTATGTACAGGCCATGTACTGAGACAAAAAGGAAAAATAAGAGCTTTTTCACTCTAAAAATCTTGGCAATAATGTCAACACCAGAAAGCCTCATCTGGAGAATCTTACAGAGTGATTGTATTTTAATACAGCAATGCACAGGTCTGTGTAGCATGATACCAGGCCCAGGAGATCAGTAATTACAAATTAGGGGTTAAATCAGAGTTTAATCAACAGAGAGAGGGAAAGGAGGAGACAGAGCGAGGGCCTGTAGTGTTCCAGGCATTCTGGTCGTCTTTTATGTATTGAATTTCATTCAAACCTCACAACGGTCTTATGAGGCCCTCATATAATTATTCCCATTTTGCAGGTGAAGTAACTGAGGCCTAGAAAGGTTAATAGCATCAGGGAATAATTTTCTCTGTGAGAATTAGGACTCTGTTACTGGTGTCCTGATTTCATTTCCTGAGGTGGATTTACTAAGAGACAGTGAAATAAAGCCATATTTAGGATACCAGACAAGGTAGATTTTAAGCATGGTCTCAGTGTTAATAATGAGAAAAATTCCTATCAACTCAGAGAAAATGTGAAGTCTGCTTTACTATTCCTGTAACCCATTGAGTTTCTAAGTATTTATTTATTCTAACAAAAAGCAATTACTACAATGGATGATACATTTAATGAACACAATTTTATTTTTTTTCTGTAACTGTACTTGTTGAATGTTAATCATATTTAAAGGGAATGATTTGAAGTAAAACCTTTTTTTCTCGCTACTGAAAAAAAATGGAATTGTTTTGGGTGGTAAAGCGTTAAGGAGTGGAGAAGGCTGGTCACACAAGCAACCATTGAAGGCCACATGTGAAAACCTATCACTTGCAGAGAGGCCAGCCCCACTAAGGTGACCAGAGTGGGCTCCAAGCACACATTGTCATTGCTATAGATGAGGCTGTGTCACCCCTCCCTGAAATTCATATGTTGGATCCTTAACTCTTAGAGTGATGGTATTTGAGATGGGGCCTTTTGGTAAGGGAAGTTCCGATAAGGTCACAAGGGTGTGATCCTCATGATTAGATGTGTGCCCTTTTAAGAGCTCTGGCTTGGGCCAGGCGTGCTTGCTCATGCCTTGTAATCCCAGCATTTTGGGAGACTGAGGCAAGGGGATCACTTGATGCCAGGAATTCCAGACCAGCCTGGCCAACATGGTGAAACCCTGTCTCTACTAAAAAACACAAAAATTAGCTGGGCATGGTGGCACCCACCTGTAATCCCAGCTATTCAGGAGGCTGAGGCATGAGAATCTCCGGAACCCAGGAGGCGGCGGTTGCGAGCTGAGATTGCCCCACTGCACTCCAGCCCAGGAGACAGAGCAAGACTTTGCCTCAAAACAAAACAGGTGCAGGGATAGGGAATGCATCCAGGGTCAGTAGTGAAGTCTAAAAAGTGTCTCTTTTCAACTTATTTAAATGACAGCACCTGAGAAGAAATGTTTTACACTGGATGTTTCTCATGTAGAACGAGAACTCTTTCCAGAATAGATGTTTACATGTCCGTTGTTGGGAATCTCTCCTACGTCTTAAATACTTTAATGCTGGAAGAGCGTAGTGTGGGCTAGTGGATCTCAGACAGCCCATGGAAATGTCCTGAAACTACTGTATCTGATGTTTGTTTTCTATGAGAGTCCATGTTTTGTTCTCTTGGGAATAAATTAATATATTGTTTTCCACTTTGGGGATACTGTGTATTTTTATTTGACAGTTGGTTAATAATCCACTAAAGGGTATGTCTAACTAAGCAAGTCTCCTGGTATTAAGCAAAATTTACATTCATATGTACAGGCATGTCTGTCTAAGAAACAACCATCCACTGAAAAATGGTTAAACTTTCCCATTGTGGGGGGTTGGGGAGAGTAAGTGGGAGTCAGAAGAGGGCACAATAGAAGATCAGTGTCATTTGAATTAGGTACAACTTTTTTTTTTTTGTAAGGGCACAACTATTTTTAAAATTTGAGATAGCAATAGGTTAACTTATTATTTACCTGCCTTTATTATTCATTTAAGAGATACACTAGGAAAAAGTTTTATGCTGTTATTACCATAATTACTTATCAAGTGCCAACATTTAAAAAATTCATTTAAAGGACATCTTATCCATCATTTTTTCAAATAAAGATATTTTAAATAAATAAAAAATATTTTAAAAAACTTAAACTATAATAATAAATATGTACATGCTCATAAACATGGAAATAATGAAGAATATAGAATAAAAACTGAACTACTTTCTCCAGAGCTAATCACTTATTTGCTTTTTTGGTTTTTGTTTTTCTGAGATGGGGTCTCACTCTGTCAACCAGGCTGGAGTGCAGTGGAACAATCATGGCTCACTACAGCCTCAACCTCCTGGGCTCAGGTGATCCTCCCACCTCAGCCTCCCGAGTAGCTGGGACCACAGGCATGCACCACCACACCTGGCTAATTTTTGTATTTTTTGTAAAGACAGGGTTTTGCCATGTTATCCTGCCTGGTCTTAAACTCCTGGTCTCAAGTGATCCACCTGCCTCAGCCTCCCAGTGCTGGGTTACAGGCGTGAGGTACCATACCTGGTCTTATCTGCTATAGCTTCTTAAGTGCTTTCTCAATGTACTGATAAAACCTATAGCAGGCTGTCCAGTAGTCCAGTCAAATTTCTGCAGTGATACAAATGTTCTACATCTGCACTATCCAATATAATTGCCACTCACATAAGCTATGAGCTCTTGAAATATAGCTAGTATAACTGGAAAATATTTCACATTTTATTTAGCTTTTTTTTTTTTTGAGACGGAGTCTCACTCTGTCACCCAGCAGGCTGCAGTGGCGTGATAGCTCACTGCAACTTCCGCCTCCTGGTTCAAGTGATTCTCCTGCCTCAGTCTCCTGAGTAGCTGGGACTACAAGCTCACACCACCATGCCTGGCTAATTTTTGTGTTTTTAGTAGAGAAGGGGTTTTACCATGTAGGACAGACTGGTCTTGAACTCCCGACCTCAGGTGATCTGCCTGCCTTGGCCTCCCAAAGTGCTGGGATTACAGGCGTGAGCCACTGCGCCCAGCCAGCTTTAATCAATTTAAATAGCCATATGTGACTAATGGCTACCACACTGGACAGCACAGTTATAGAGGCAGGCATCAGTTATGTGTATGTGCTTGTACATACAGTGGGAATACCACAAGCACATAGATATACTGGCAGATTTTTTCAAAATTGATTATATAAATATGATAAATTATGACTTTTTGCAACTTGTTTTAGACCTTTCTTTTTTTCTTTCTTTCTTTCTTTTTTAAGAAAGACTAAGTCTTGCTCTATCACCCAGGATTGAGTACAGCGGCATGATCATGGCTCACTTCAGCCTCAAACTCCTGGACTCAAGAGATCCTCCCATATTAGCCTCCCAAGTAGCTAGGACTATGGGTGTGTGCCACCATGCCCGGCTAATTTTTTATTAACTTTTGTGGAGACAGAGGGGGTCTCACAATATTGTCCAGGCTGGTCTCAAACTCCTGGCCTCCAGTGAACCTTCCACCGTGGACTCCTAAAGTTCTGGGATTATAGGCGTGAGCCACTGCGCCTGCCCGTAATGCAATTTTAAATAGTAGCAGTGGTAGCAGCTTTCCTTGTGTTGTTTCCAACATTAAAAAGCATGTTGAGGCCGGGCGCGGTGGCTCAAGCCTGTAATCCCAGCACTTTGGGAGGCCGAGGCGGGTGGATCACGAGGTCGAGAGATCGAGACCATCCTGGTCAACATGGTGAAACCCCGTCTCTACTAAAAATACAAAAAACTAGCTGGGCGTGGTGGCGCATGCCTATAAT